CCTATTTGACTCACCAGTATGTAATAATATATATTCTCGGACGACAGTATATTACATGAGGCATTTCACTTTGCAGGCAAAACCGGTGAGACTATAATTTATAGACGACCTTTGGGGGACGCCGAAATGACCCTGAGGGTGGACACCTACTGACTAGGAATAAATGAGGGTTATAGAGCAGTTGTAATTCGCATTTACAGTCGAAGGTTAGGGTAAAAAATTAGATTTAGGGTTTTCACCACGAACTGACATCAGTTATAATGATAGAACTTTATTCAACCAAATGTATGGATGAATTTCGCGCCGAAATTTGTGACTTGTTATCTTGTACCTGGTTGGTTCGTTCACAAATTGTAGTCTCACACACAATGATTATATAAACAGGGGATCAATTTTCGCATACTAGAATAACTGTCAGTAAGACTCCAATGTTCAATATAAGAGTTGGCGCGCTTAGCAGAGTTTGCGTCCGATAATGAACTGAATTTAGGTCCTGAGCAGTCATTCGAAGATGACAACCTCATCGTATTATTTCGTGCTTTTTGCTAGTGCTAACAGATATATTCTGGGGGTATTAGCGATGGGGAAAGACGAAGTCATTTGTTCCGCAGATGTTTTCGGTGGCAGACCATGAGCGTGCTAAAATGGTAAGGAAAAATAGAAAAGAAGAGAAACAGGACAAACAGTGTTCATGACTAATGAAGTTTAGTCACTTATGATGGAACAATTAAAGCATGACTATTAAGAATATAATATATAGACAAATCAATTAGATTTGTAGTGACTCACGTTTATCACGAGGACACGACTGGTTTAATAAAAACGCTTATTATTATAACCAAGTGTACCAGTGACTGTTTTAATGTGCTTTTGTTTGACTGTGCTAATGACAGCTATTTTGTGCTTCCATTCTTTTACTTACACTTTGATTGTAACTTCGCGCGAATTCAGTTACCTTCTGTAACCAGGGTTGTATCCTGGCACGATCTCGGTATCCTTTCGATGCCACGAGATCGCCAGCTAATAAACTCCGACTTGGTCCATTAACTGTCTTCTGATATTTGGCTTCTCGGGGATTTTATGGATCTATTTGGTTACGTCCAACCCTCGCCTTCTGATTTATTTGGCACGTGTTTCTTGGTAGCGGTGTTCATAGTTAATCTCAGCCCGACGCCACGCTACAGATTTAAGATGACAGGTATTGGATTTTGGCGTGAAATTCACTCACATATTTGTCTAAATGGCATTTTGGCATCATCGACTGTAAATCATAATCTTTATTCCTCAAACTGCCTCATAACATCCATTTAGCCCTAGTAAGTAGATGGAAATTCCCGAAGTAATTAGAGCATCGCTAAAAGGTCGTCCATAAATTATAGCCTCATTCTCATTCTCTTTTCCTAGGTCAGTTTCTAGGTAGATATATTACATCGGGATAATAAAAACAAGCTAAAGTATGACACTGAATGAATAAAGAATTGTACAAATAAAAGTGATTTAAAAGAGCTGAAAGTTTAAGGTTTTACGTTTTTAAAGGTTAGTAAGAAAACCAAATGGCTGTTTTTCATCAAAATCTATAAAACACATTTTCTATTCTTATAACTTTCATGAGTGAACTCATATATAGCGTAATTGTCCCGTCTTATTCGCAAAAGGATTTCTCAGTAGGAAGTGAAACGAATTCAGGGTCACAGACATTAGGCAAAGAGGTGTTTTGCATAAGAAATCGGTATTTGGATTGTGGTCATCCCCCAGCCAGTCAGTAACGCCACCTTTACCCTCTTTGTGATGCTAGTCTGTCCTACATTTGTGGTATGTATGAATGCTGCTTTAATGTAAGCTCTGTGTTGCAAACATTCTTGGAATTCATCCATTCTATTGATTCCATGTCACAAGCAAATCAGGCTAAAGGTTTTATATCGTGGGTTGGACATCCGGTTAGTATATCACACTGCTATGATGTTAACCAACCGTACGAGTCACAAGATACTGGTCAGATAATATGTGGTCTAGGAATGTTATGAACGGGTAGCTGATCAAAGGACATAAATGAATAATATAAGGCTGCGAAATGTATGAGTAAGACGATAAGTAAGAAAACGAAATATTTGGATGACAGCAATTATTTTTAAAGGAACATAAATTTGAACTAAAGGGAATCCACAATTATTTAGGATATTCTGAGCATCCTATGATCGTCGAACAGCACCCATAGGGTTGGTGAGTTATCTGTCTGCGAACTAGGGAGAAAAAAGTTGTTTTGTTCAGTGTTCGTGCAAATGAGGTTTGAGGATGATTATTCATGATTAGTCAATGATCCTCAACTAAGAGATGTGGTAGTCGTTGAAGGGGATAAGAATATTTGACCGGGTCGTGGTACAACATCTTTCAAAAGTCCAATGCATGCAACACCATCAATCGTTGTGTGGATGAAAAGAGAAACACGAGAAACATGATTATTTAATAGTTATAAAAAGGAAATACGAGGTATATAACAACAACAACACGTAAAATGTGAAATCTCAAAGGTTATTTGACAAATGACTATTAATGGTTTGTGACGTAGTTGTTACGTCCCAATAAGAACAACGAATGGTAACTATTTGGATCCATTTATGGATCAATACTATACGTACATTTTTATCGTATAGTTTTTAATAACTAAATTGTTCATATCCATGTCCATCTTATTATGAGCTTTATTTTGACCTGTGAACTATTATTATACAATTTACCATTCTTGAGTTATGGCCTGTCTATTAATTACTACCTCCAGTCGCAGTCACATTTGGCTAATTCTTGTGCAAATGTTGTTTCATATTTTATGGTACGTTGTAGTCTGTCTGGTTGGTGTACAAACCCAGTATGCAAGAAATAGATGATTCACATCGCAGAGGCTGAGGTTGGTGTCCTGGACTTAACAGGCTGAGCTGGGCGGGAAGCAGGACCAATCAGGACACTAGACTGCTCGCATGGGTTTCATGAGTCACTGGTCCGATCGATAACCCACTGCTATCTGATTGGCGGTATCGTTGCGTTATACAGTAAACAGGACACACAGGTCACTAGTTATAATAGTAGCCACTAGGTGCCAGCTGATTACTCATTCACAAGGTTAAATGTAGGACAGCTCATATTTACATGTAGCTTGGCTTAGACAAGCCCCATAGAGCATGCTAGAAACTCCATATTGCTTCACAAGGCAGCCTAGAGAAGATTTAAACTGATTTAGCATTTCATCTGACATTTACCGGTAACCCATTCCAGAGCCTTGCATAGCGTGTGACAAAGAAAGTTAGTCTTAATTTACCTAATGTTCTCGATATCCTGAGCACAAAATCTTGATCCCAAAGTTCAAAATTAGTTTTTGATTGAGGTCAAAATCACAGCTTTTGGTAAACCTGAAGTATCACAATTTAGCGTAGTTTTATTATATAGAATTCAGTATAGTAGGGTAAGGTTAAGTTTAATTCGTCTTAGCCATCACCGACCCAAGTTCCACTCTTCACACCCATCTTCATATGATGTATCAGGCGTAAGAAGTCTTGGTAAATGACGTTGCATTTTCTCAACTTTCTGTCGGTCTAAGGAACGCATGCAACTAAATATAAATGTGCAGTATTCCAGAAGGGGCCACACACACTTTGTAGAGTCATTTTGAATTTCTACTTCAGGCTCGTCAAAAATCTTACTGTAGTTGCAATATATTCATTAATCAAGCGCCATATATATACGACCCTAGAGATAAAGTATGCATGGTCAAAATTGAACGAAACAACAACTGGACAAAACTTCTTCCTTTTCAAGTATACATTAAAATGGGGCTGTCTTCTCTTCAAGATATGCGTGTCATATGGACTACATATGTTTGCTAGAATTCTTGATGAAGCCCTCGCTTGCAGTGATCTAGTACTCTCGAACACATCTGCATCCTACTCAGATATCAGAGGCTCCCCATAAATCTAAATCACGTCAAACTGAGTCTCGCTTCCCTTTGCTTACTACTTTGAAGTCCATGGTTTGCAATCTGTCTGATAAACTTGTAAAAATATCATTTATAGTATTAGAGTTTTCCTGGAAAGCATGAAACGCAGAGCATTGAGTAAGACAAAATATTGCGTCTAGATGTAACCCCGAAACGACCTAACATCACAAAAAGAGAAAAAGGAGTTACTGATGGTTAGGGCGACGAATTTAATTCACCCATGTTTGTGAGGCAGAAAATTCTGTGACTGAGGAAGAGGCGATCAATCTTTTGAGTTGGTACTCCTATGCTCGATACTCAGAGTCATGTTTCTAGTGTTCTGCTGGATTCGTCATTTTACCATAAATTGCTAACGAAGGCTTTTGCATAATGACCTGGTGACTGGCACCAGATGAAAAAATGAGAATAATAAAAATTGTTAAGTGATAAAAGATACAGCTATTAGCGTTTCTTAGCAGTTTACTTCCCTTCATTGTACTCATTGAACATTACTGACACATAAATCTAGTTGCAAACATGTGCGAAAATATTGAATTATTCGAGTTAACAACCCTACTTAGTAAGTATCTTATCGGTAAACCAGTGTTGAAAATTATTAATTATGACTATAGAAACTGCTTGTACATCCTCCGTGCTTAGAACTCACTTGCACCAAAATTCAAACAGATTTTACCACCTACAAACAGGACTTTAGTTGATGTTTACCCTGTTCGAATAAGTTCTGTATTGAATAACAAAAAGCAGGCAAAAACTTTACAAGGAATATATCGGCCGTTGTAAACACAAGAACTAACTGAAGGCGATTTGTATTTTGGATGGTTCATAACTTTGCAAACAGATTTAAAAAATCCATAGTTTCTGTTACTAATAAAAAATATTCCATCAACATCACCCATGATTATTCCACTTATACTCAAAGGGGTACTTAAATCATTAATTGTTCGCATAAAAATACAATAAGAGTACTTAAAATCTCGACTACAACTTTAATATGAGGTATTGAACACTGTACAAAGTTTTAGTTATTTTTCAGCGAAAACTATGACCTACGAATATAAAGTAACTAATCAGATATTGTTGTCCAATGAACACTTCTTATAATTATTATGGTAGCCAATACAACAATTACTACGCATCAGAGTAAATCAAAATCTAATAGTTATTTATTTTTAAAGACACAGAATTCCCTCTGATGTGAAAGCTCATGCGTGTTTAATGATCTTAGCATGGGGTTTCTGTAACCCAAATGCAATCATCATTTCGAGACACTTCAAGAAAGGTTGGCCAGGTCGGACAATAAATAACTTCGCTTACTGGTTTCAGTTTCACATTATTCTGCAGTCATTCACCCTTGCATTCGTTTTATTGGCACTAATGATTATTGTTGTGCACGTTATGGGCTACTCAAATTTAAGGGATCTTCCCTTCAGCGCTCACCCAGCTTGTGGATTTGCAATCGTTGTGCTTACTTTCTCAAATGTAGGTGGAAATAGTACTAATAGAGGGTTCAGCCTATTGTTGCATGGTTTCTCTGCACGACAAGTGGTCGTCAGAGAGCTATTACGAAATATGTTCATCAGGTGGCTGGAATTTTATCCCAGATGCTTGCAGTCCCGACAGCCTTAATCGGACTACAGATGCCTGCTTTGGGATATGGTATTTGTTCATCAAAAGTATATTCGACACTTTTTGCTATTACTGTTGTTCTTAACGTCATCGTTGAAATAACTCTTGAAGTTATTGGATACAAAATCGGAAAAAATGTCAAAAGTAATTGTGAAGACTCTGATTTTATTTATTATTACATTTATATTAGTTGTGCGGTCAATTTTAAGCATTCAAGCTGATGAAGCTGACAAACTACTGGCTCGAATTGAAGAAGTGAGTTAAACTTAGGAGAGATTTTCCATTTGAAATACTTTTGCGTATTTTTGTCTGAATTATTATTTCCTTTCTCAGATAAAACCCATTGGCATAATAAATCAGAAAATTAGTACGTTGTTCTACATCTCAGCTGTCTAGAAAATATAAGTCTAAACTCCTTTAAACATGATGAGGGAAAAGCAATTGTATTATCTATTTAATGGAACGTTTAAAAATAGATGAAAACAGAGTGTGAAATATCGCGAGTAATTAAAGTAAAAATTAGTGGTGACATTTTGTATTTCGATTATGCTTTCTGAACAAATATCTGTAATGATTGCTTAACCATGTATTTAATGGTACTGCTAATTATACCATATTTACGCTTGTGGACGGTTGAAATTTATCGATTTATACTTTACAGCATTTTGATATATTTGCCAGTCGATTTGAAAAACGGCAACTTCATTCACCAAACTATGAGTTGGCCCCCATGATATACCCCTTTAAAATTGCTACTGTTAGTTGTACTTGAAATAAGATTGAGTGAGTTACGCGAATTCCTAGCATTTTGACGAAACTTTCGGAGCTTCAATTAACTGTACGTCCTTGTAGCAGTGACAGAAATGTCGGCCCTCATTTTCATTAGGAAAACTTTTTAATCCATCTGTGTTTAGAACTCTGTTGATAGTTTTATACAATCTTATGTGGACCTTCATTAGCTTTGTTTTAGTAAGTAGTTTGCTTTTATCACTGCTGTCGATTTTATCTGATCATACATTTCTATATAGAATAAGAATAGAAACATTTGCAAGAGTAAAATCCAATTTTATCCTTTTTGTTAATTATTGCGGTTCGAACGGATGTGATCATTGAAAGTTGAGGTGATTGTGTCTCTAGGACAGCTATGTATAATAAAACTTTACATGAAGGATGTAAACAAACACAACAAACAATGTAAGAATAAGGAGCAATACTACAAGAGATATCACCTTTAATAAACTATCGTTACGAATATTTCAAGAGGCTTGGCATTTTAGTTAAAGATCTTGCCATTATAAGGGGAGTTGTCATCAGGAGCATATTCTCATAAAACTTTGATATAAGAGGTACTTCTGAAATAACTTGAAAATTCTCATAATATCTCCCTTTTCAAAGAAAAAAATATGAAGTGAATAGAAACATCATGTAAAATCACAAAAATTCCGTAACTGGACCAATAATTCTGTCAATTCCAGTAAAAGTCTTATTTTAACGGTAACGAAGTGTTCGCACTTATTAGATTAGTTTTTAATACACTTAACTCGATATGATAAATACAGCAAAATATCTTTTAAGATCAGCATATTTTATTTTGCGATACAAGAACTGAATAAATTGATAGTTAGTTCTCAGAAAACATTGTTATCAGAGTTTGCTACTATTTCATCAAGTTACTTTTTAAAGTTTATGAAATTCAGTAATACTTTTTGGTGTCTTTTGTACTGTAACTATATACAATTCCGTGTTTTATAGTGCATCAGTTTTTGATTATTGTATTCAAAAATCACGCTCCTCATTAATTTCTTGAGTAAAATATCAGGACTAATTACAGTCTCGTAACCTTGGTATGCACAAAGATACGGTAGTAGTAACACTGAATTAATAAAGTTATACAAATATCAAACAGAAGTCACCTACTATATCGTACCACAGAGAGACGTTACTGTTTGCTGACTTCTTGAAAAGCCATCAACATTTCTTCCCGTGTTTGTCGTTAAATAGCCTACTACTTGGGTACCGTTCTTGTCACTAACAAATGCACAATAAGGAGAACCTTCTTTTTAGTTAGATCGGTAACGTATCAACTGGAAGTAAGTATAAGTCAATAGCATATCAATCTACAAGTTTATTTCTTTAACTAAGATAAAGTTTATTCCAAGGCTCCAAAATAATTATTTTTAGAAGTGTCTAAAGTACCACTTGGACTATAGGTTCAAAAACAGATTTTAAAACTGTGATTAAATTGAAAATGTTTTGCTTTAGAAAATCCAATGGTATCTACTTTTATTCCGGTGTTTCCACATCTGATCATTAAAATATAAACGTTCACAAAATTACCCCATATACCACTTTTTTTAAAACAATACGACTTTATTTTCCGTTGAAACACTTTTTTGTCCTTCAGAATCTAAGCAGGTAGGTCAGAAAAGTTCTTAATAAGTAGCTCTTGCTTCGGACTAACTCAGGAGTGTAGTTGAAGAGTATTAGCTTTCAGACTACACTAAGTACAAAAGACTGTATCTTCTATCTTGGAAAACTACGTTTTTTATGTAATTAAGCTATTTTGATCTCAACGTGCTATCAAAACTGTAAAACACCTTACTATAATAACCAAATCATTTTCAAGAAAACGATATGATACGCATTAAGCTTTAGGCATTATTATATCATAAAACGATTTTAAATATTTTTAGCATTAAGAAACACTTGATGGTTAGTGAAGTCTACCATCTTGTAAGCTGTTTTGATTTGCAATAGTGTGCTGTAAAGTGTGATGTTACGTCCACTCTGTGTTCTAGGATCTAGATCTTGTTGCGTTTATCTGTGCTATAATATACTTTAAAGTTGGTTGCACCATTGTATTTTTCAAGCATAGCATCAGTCAGTGTTTATTACTTTCAAGCTTTTCATGAACAGCTTTGTTAAATACAACTGATTTACTAATACGTTCCGAAAAATGAAGATGAATTAGTCTTATTTTGAAGAACTTTAACAAAAAGTAATGAATATATTTCAAGTATGCAACTCAGGTTCTAAGATTTTATCAGAATGCAGAACAGTTTTATCAAAATGTGCTTTATATTTGAAATATTAGCAATAAAATTAACCATATTTGGATGTTTGTTTTATTTATCGGACGATGTTACTCCATATAAGATGGGAACTGAACTAATTACAACTAAATAATCATCAATTAAGATGATATTAAATGCTCAGCCAACAAATGTAGCCTCAAATCAGTAAATTTATCATTGTTAAAATTGAATATTTAGTCTTTCAAATTTATCAAACTGTAAATATTGCATTATTATTGTATAAGTCTGGAACAAACATTATCAGGCAATAAGTTTTTGCTTCTTAGCTCACGAAGAATAAAGAAACCCGTTTGTTTCAAAGTATAATAATGAGTACACAAAATATTTGACTTTCTGGATTATCTTCACAAATTCTCATTTGCAGGCTCTATTTATCAATACGTCTTTAGGTAACTGCACACATTTTGGCCAGTCGTTATCAAATTAGATGAAGATTGTCTGATGTTTCGCAAAACTTTATTTGTATCTTAAAAATGAATATTTGCAACCAGATGAAAAAAATCACGAGCTTGTATGTAATTTATATACAAAACGTTTGCAGCGGCTTGATAGAGTAAATTACTAATATGTTAATTTGTGGTTCATTTAATAACTAAGATGTTTACACTTTTTAAAACTACTCAGCACACTTATTTCTTCGGTCACTTCGGAGACTTCTTCGATTTTCACTTATAAAAGAAAAAAATGCGGCTTTTTAATAATTAAAATAATCGTATCAAGATTTAAGTGTTAGTGATTAAAATTCAAAAAAGATCCTAGCGTTCACTATCGTTTCCGCAAAGGAAAAGCTAAAAGCGTTTTCTACATCGCTTTGGATTATTCTTTCTCACACTGCAGCCTATATTGGGATATTCAATTTTACCGACTATTATTATCACTCTCAATACATTATTGTCTATCCTTTCATGAGATTGGACTACAAGTTTCTTTCAGCCGATATAGCTTTTAGAAAAAAAGAATATTAGACTGTGGAGTTTTTCCATTAAAACACTTTCCAGAATACTATGTCACTGCCTGCTTTTTATCGAGTAAGAACAATTTTTGTCCTCAATATACGAGTTTAGTCCATTCATTTAGTTACTGTAGACACAAGAATTCCACTTGGATTTTAGAACATATAAGTATCTTTATGTAAGTAATTCAGATAAAGATATATTTCAGAAGCTTGTTCACAATTTTAGACTAGCTTATCATATAGTACCAACCAATATATGTGTCAAGTAACTTTGTAGGTTACATTATTTACAAGATCGCCTACTTAAAGTCATTTATAAGCCCTACTATGTTAAATAAATAAACAAATGAGTAGTACAATAACTATTCATACACAAACCACCATGTAAAGGCGTGGTTTTCTGAAAATAATTTCTATGTGTTAGATCATATATATGAACATGAGACTGCCCATCAAATTAAAGTGACATGGAACCTTTTTTCTTGAGAACTCTAAAATAACAAAAATATGAAAGTTTTAAATCAAAAATCCCAAGTGAGTGATACCATTCATCTTACAACTAATCCTGCAAGATTTTGAGATAAATGTTGAGATGTCTGGTAGACGGATGTAAAGTAAAGAACAACTAGAAATTTTATAAGACGAAGAACTGAATAATGAAACTTTCCCAAAGCGACTTTTAAATATTCTGAACCATCATTTATCTAAGATAATACGAGATTCTTATTATTTAGTATATTTCTAATGTTATCACGGAGTAGTAAGACAGGTAAACTTGCGAAATTAGCTGCTATAAGCATTTCTGTATGATTATCACTATGATACACACTATAAGGCGTTTGCTAAGCAATTTATTATTTATTTTCAGGATCCGAAACATGGAGCTACATTTTTAGAACACTATAGGATAGAACTTGTAAGTTGTCGCAAAATTTTCTGATATCTATTTGATTTATCTCAAAGATAATGAATTTCGTGAAGCATACATAACAATTTGCAAATACTGAACACCTCCATTTTATAGTTTGGCCATTTAATTGCGTTTGTTCGCTGCAATAAGTGTGTGTTCAGAACAAAATGGTACTGTTTATTGGCTTTTCAGTAAATTCATGCACAGTTTTCTGTAGCACATTTTCAAGCCCTAAGTAATTTTATAACTGAAATTTTCTGCAACAATCAAGACCTATCGATATTAGTACACTTCGATCATTCCACATAAGTAAGTTCACCTATCTGTAGGAACGGTAAACTTGTATAAGAACAGCAAAACTTCTATCACCTTGTAATATAACAATAGTTTTGTTAAACAATTGTATTATATTCAAGAAGCGAAATAATTTCAAGATTTAGAGAATCCTCTATTTCTTGATATCACGTTTTTAAAGATGAGGAAAATGCTTTTAGTCTGTGTATTAGCATCTGAAGGAAGGCTTTGAAAGCGTATCAATTAAGTACTGGATCAAACTGCTTATTTTCCGCAAATTTTGCTTCTAGATTACAAACTAGCAACCGGCAAGACTCACTACTCTACCTATGTCTTGGACTTAATGGAGTTGGAATAATGCAACCCTTTTGGGGACGCTAAATTCTCAAGCTCAATACTTATGAAGAAATTAACTTCAAAATTCACACATTGGCTTTTAAGTGGATTCTATTCATCGACTTTTTGTTCATTTCCCTTTTCATTGAATCATATATGAAGGAAATTTATTGAGCTTCAGCGTATTTCAATGCGTCAATAATTTTCACTGTTATTGCACATTCAAGTGTTGGCTACTCTCCTAATACATCCTTTTATCAATAATCACTGAAACTAATTGATGCAGGTTGGGTAGAAATGGATGTGAATTAATCTTCTTTGTTCTTCTCCAACATTTTATTCACAAGATTTGAAGTGATTTTAGCTAGAAGAGAAGACAATGATTGTATGTAGTACCAAATTTGTAGTTAGAGTTATCGTTGTAGTCTCGTGAATGTATCGTAGCTAATGATGGTTATGAAAGCTCATGAAAAATAGATTAATGACATTTTAAAATTGCTTATTACCAACGTCAATTCATGTAACTTTGCGTTATCTCTATAACTCCGATTCATTTTCCATGCTGTACAATCGCAACTATATATACGTATTTTTCAGGATGATAGTGATAACAATAATAATAGTAATAATAAACTTCTGCTACACATGGTAAGAATGAGGTAGAATAGACAAAGGTATTAAAAAGTTTTTTTAAACAGGGAAACTAATAATAGTTTGATTGTTATGGACTTAAATATTCATCATAAAGATAGATAGGGAAATTATGATTGGGAAAGGATGGCTCAGCACGATAAGATGAAATGCTGAAATTGAGATGGAACATAATCAGGAGGAGCATAGAAGCAGAAATAAATCGATAGGGAGGTAGAAGGTTTAAGGAGAAAATGGAAGGGGAAGCAGATGGTTGTAAAGAAAGGAAAGTATGAAGAGAGAAAAATGAGATTTTAAGATCATGTTCGAGGAAGAGGTTGTACCGATTTCTTTTGGACACACAATTCTGGTTTGCACAGATGTATGGCTATTGTGTCGGCAAAGTTAAGAAGATGCAATATAACTGCCGTCGGAAGATTTTTACTTACCTTGTAGATGGCTTTGAACGCAGAGTCCATCTTGATTGAGTGACCTGTGTTCACAAGGTGCTCGATTGGGCCGTTTCAACCTCCTTTTAGCCACACCGAGTAAAGTTCTTGAATTCTTTTGGATAAATTACTCATCGAACGACCTGGCTCCACATGGGTGGGTAAATTAGTAAGTGCACATTGAGTTGGTCAGATGAGATAATTTGTCCTTAAGATTATTGATGAACGGTGATTGGCCGGAGAATATTATCCGCAACATTGATTCTCCTCTTTAAGACATTTGCAGCTCTATCACCCTTAAAGTCGATGTTAACGTATAATGTTTCCTTTTCAACTGAAGTTACTTGTGTTTTAGGCGATTTCAGTTTCATGTTTTTGTCAATGAATATCAAACGATACCCGCTTTTGACAAGTATTTCCTTCGAGAGGCCCAGTTCTTCATCTAAAACCTCAGGACTACAAATACTTTGTATTCCCATAACGAGTGATATTATGAGGTTTCGTTTTCGACTAATGGGGATACAGCTGTAGGAACTTGGGTCCCTTATAGGTAGATCTGTTTAGAGTTTCACCTTGTTTCCGTTTCATTTCCACATCAAGAAAGTGAACATTTAGTTTGTTTTAAACTTCAAGTGTGAAATTTATTGCTGGGTGACAGTTATTAAATGTTTTCAGAAGATGACTCAAATAATATTTGTTTTCACAAATGATAAAAATATCATCTACGTACCTTTTATACAAGTGAAATTTTTCGGTGGTCGTTTTAAGTCAAATGTTTTCTAGACTCGCCATGAAGCAATCTGCTAGTAATGGACCAAGAGGGGATCTATTGCTATGCCACCCTTTTGCGAATAAATTACGTTGTTGAATGTAAACTGTGCATTGCAATTGCAACGTAGTAGTAGTTCTTTCAAATATGCTTCCGGTATTTTGATATTAATCCCGTTATTATTTATGTAACAACAGATAAAACGGAAATACAACTGACTTATTTCTGTTTCTATGCTCCTCCTGATTATGTTCCATCTCAATTTCAGCATTTCATCTTATCGTGCTGAGCCATCCTTTCCCAATCATAATTTCCCTATCTATCTTTATGATGAATATTTAAGTCCATAACAATCAAACTATTATTAGTTTCCCTGTTTAAAAAAACTTTTTAATACCTTTGTCTATTCTACCTCATTCTTACCATGTGTAGCAGAAGTTTATTATTACTATAATTATTGTTATCACTATCATCCTGAAAAATACGTATATTTAGTTGCAATTGTACAACTTTGAAAATGAATTCACCGAAAGGGGAAGCCTCCTCTGAACCAATCTTTCTTATTCAATGTTTCAATGCGTGTATTTCGTTTAATTAATTGACAGAATTCGTTTACTACTGAGGAGACGGGAGGATATAGGTAAATTTAGAATTTCTAACTAGACTATTTCAGCAGAAACAAATATTTAAAAAAGGTTCAAAGGATAAATAACTTGGTTTAGTATAAAAAAAAGCCACATTCACTAATTATTATTATTATTTCATATAAATTACATTACCACAACTGTTTTTTTCTCCCTGGTTACATAACTGTCATCTAACGGGTTATAATTATTTTTTCCTAGAATCAAAGGTCAAAAAGAGGTGTACCAAAAGAAATTACCAAAAACCATACAGTAAGTTCACTTTATTTAGTCAAACGTAATAGTGTTGCAGGTTGATCGGATTATATTTGAAAAGTCAAGCTTATCCTACATGTAACTCAATGACGGCTAATTATTTTTCTAAGTATATGATTAGAAAAGTAGAGGGTACCGTTTGATTAATATGAACATGCCGATCAAGTTATAAAAAACTACTTATAAGAGGAATCCATCTCATATATATATGATAAATTATAAGCTGACGATTGATTGTACTAGTATATGGAGAATTGTAGAGACTAAGGAGCTCTCATAGTTTAAATCATGAATTAATCTCAGCTAAACCATATTTAAGAACCCAGGATGATTGAACATTTGTTTCGTCGTAATAAGAGATCCCTCAGCAGTGTGAACCCCTGATGACTCTGTATCTTGGAAGCAAACTCATGATCTTTGATCTATGGCACGAACCCTTAAACTATAAACCACTGAGCCAACATCCAACTGTGTGTCTTGGCTCGGCCATTTAATGATACTGCACAATCCTCATCCATTTCCTGCTGTGGATAACTGTCTCACATCTGAAATGATTGAAATACACCAGTCAGAGATTTCACCAGAACTCCAGGAGCAACCGAAAACCCTGGGCTTGGTTCGTTGATGCATACCACTGAGGAGTCTCATACTAAAACGAAACAATTGTCTGGTGCTTTCATATTATTATTGTTGATCTCGCTTAAATCAGTTCATGACTTAAACTCAGAGAATTTTTGTATGTTTGTTGGAATTTGAAGTTATGTGAAGTTGGACTACATAATTTTTAGGCAATAATAACTTGTCAAATTTTAACAATAGACAGTTATGAGTTAACCTATGTTGCCTCATATATCATGATCGTATAATGTTAAAAATGGACTCCATGACAATGATCACTTCACTTTATAAAAGGAGATCTAATGACCTATGGGGCGTTATATTACCCTCGATGATTCACATGGCCTATGATCCTCCAGGAGGGCTAACAGGCGATGATTCACAGCTTGTAATTATGTAAACTCCATATCAGTTGTCTTGGTTAAATCCTTATAGAGTAGCTGTAGTTCGTGGATAAATTATTTCACCAACACTAACCAACGTAGGCTGGACAATTTACCGTTAACATCCATATACAGTGTAAAACCACTATTTCTGAGGGTTGTATTTCAGAACTCTGCTTTCCATTCATCCGACATTTGAACATGGTTTTGGATTATTAGTAGTGACAATGATCAATATGCTGCCACATTTAAGTACCTGTGTCATTCAAATGAGCTGTATACAATTAAGGTTGTGAAATGGATTTCATGTATTCCGCATGCGTAATAGCATTATAACTAGTAAACGAGTATCTTTTTTTCTCATAGATGGATGATTATGACAATATTTAATTAACATATTTGCAATTTTTCAAAAAATTATCTTAATCATAAATTATTTAGTTGATGTACTGTAGAAAATACTACAATTAGGAATCAGGCTTTTCAAAGAAATCTCTATTTCAACGGTTTATCTTGAAAATTCATATGGACTCATCTCTTTGAAATATATTTGTTCATCAGCATAAGATATATTAGATACGCCATATATTTTACTGTCAGTCAGTCAAACACCACTTAGAATCTGGTACATACTTTAATATAATAAGCCAAGTCGTAAAAACTGCTACGCATGGATTGAATAAAACTTACGACTGTTACCACTAGTGGAGGAGCGTGGGTCGCTCACCAGCTTTCTCCATCAAACTCTGTTCTGGACAATCCTCTCCAGCTGTTTCCAACTGCTATTCAGTTTTTTTATGCCTAGATTAAATTCCCGACGCGAGGCGTTCTTTGGTCCTCCTCGTTGCCTTTCGTCTTCAGGACTCCAAGTCAGGGCTTGCCTCGTGATGCAGTTTGATGACTTCCGCAATGTATGTTCTACCCACCTCCAGTGTCTCTTCCTAATTTCCTCTTCATCTGGAAGTTAGTTTGTTCTCTACCACAGTAGGTTTTTGCTTATGGTATCCGGCCAACGGATAATGAATATCTTCGGTAGACAACTATTTATAAATACTTGTACCATCTTGATGATGGTTGTAGTAGTTCTCCACGTTTCAGCTCTGTACAATAGAACCGTCTTGACATTTGTATTGAAGATCCTGACTTTCATACTGTTTGACAGTTTTTTTGAGTTCCATATGTTCTTCAACTGTAGGAATGTTGCCATTAATTTTCTAATCCTCGCCTTTACGTCCTCATCCGATCCTCCTTGTTCATCAATGGTACTTACCAGGTACAAGAAAGTTTCCACATCTTCCAGAGTTTCTCCATCAAGTGTGATTGGGTTGGTGTTCTCCATGTTGTATTTTAGGATCTTGGTTTTTTCCCTTGTGTGTGTTGAGACGTACTGATACATAGGCTGCTGCTACACTAATTATCTTCATCTGCATTTGTTGATATGTATGGGATAGAAGAGCTAGTTCATCTGAGAAGTCCAAATCGTCTAGCTGTCCATTGTATTCCGTGCCTCCTCTGAAATGTGAAGACCCTCATCATCTAGTCAACAACTAGAAGAAAGAGGAAGGGGGAGAGTAAGCAGTTTTGTCTGACTGAGGTCCTCACTTAGAATGCACCTGTCAGCTGTCCTCCATGTACGGCTTTGCATTGTAGTCAGTCGTATGAATTCTGAATAATGGTGACGATTTTCTCAGCTACGCTAACCAGAAAAAGCCAATCAAATCAAACCCAGAAGTTAATTAGTATTTTAAAATACGTAATGAGTGTTATCTTACCCAATTTATTGTTCAGAATTTATACATAAAACATGATTTCATATATGAATCTGTTATTTCAGTCTTTACCCTCATTCCATACTTTTCGAACGAACTGGTTTTTGTTAAAAAGAACTTTTATTGGTTGTTTATATGAAAGCGATTTTACCACTGATGACAAAAATATTCATCTGTTGACATGACTTTTTACCACCGCTAGTAGTGAGTTTCAACCTAATATATAATATTTTGTTAGGAACTGCTATGATCGTCTTATGAATAGCAATTAAACACTAACGTGAGCCTTTAATAGTAGAAAACGTAGTATTATATGTTAACGTATGTTTTGTGCAATCAATAATCCTAATATCGCCAGAAGATAAGTGGATTCTTTAAGTTGAAATCTTACGTTCTCACTTTAGAAATCAAACATTTATTGTTATTTCAAGTAGCACATAATAGTATTACATGAACACTGCTAGTAGACTGTATAAATTGTTTTGTAATTCGTTATACTGAATGATAACTTATCTAACGTCAAAATCACTCGTCTTGTAAATGGTGTAAGCAACATTATAGGCTGGTTAATCCCTGTACATATCATTGGATCGTGTATTATTTTGATTATGCTCTAGATATTTCTCTACTTTTAAAATGTTTGTGTTTACAAAATCCATGTCAGGCAAAACATTTATTGTAGGTAAAATAAAATTGCTCCGAAATTTATCTTGTTCTTTTCATTCGCAGTTATGGGTAATCAAATACTTTCTTCTTGCTATGCATTTGGCGCTCAGTTTTAGCTTGGTATTTGTCTTAGTTGTACTGTTAGCTGCATAACGTTTCCCGTGTTTCTTCGGTGGAGTAAAATAAAGGAAAAGTCAACACTTTTACTTTGATTTTTTATGAAGTCAATTTTTAACTAGTACAACACAATCTATGTCATACTAAATAAAATGTATACGAACATTGAAAAGTTGTCTTTCTCTTTACCAGATCTTTTAATTCAGTTCAGATTTCATGTAATATTGATGTGATCAGTACAAAATGTTAATACTGTAACATTTTCCCTGTTGCTAACTTCACAACCTAAAAAAATAACGAGTGCAGAGAAATGTAGTATGTCTTCGTTTTGTAGAGCCTCTTACAAATGTTTTTTGAAAGTAAGTCAGTTATTTAGTTAAAGGAATTAAGGACCACTTTTATATGTTAAAACGTTTTAAGTATTCTGATGAGTTTATAAAAGTATCCTGATACTTTTTGATAAATCATAGGCTTAACCATTAAATATTTTTAGTTATTTAGTATTGAGCTATTTGATGTAGTTCATCAATATCCCATCTAGAAATTCTGATTGTTTATAATGTATTTATAGTCTTAGGGAAGGTCTCGTCTATACCTTGACGAAAACTAAACCTCTCATAAAAACTGAATGTCAGTAAGTTTGCTATCAGTAGTTATTAGTTGATAAATCAACTTCAACGAAAGTATCTAAATTTTGTCAACACTATCCTACCAAAAAGTCATTATTGTTGGATTCAACACAATTTTCATACACTTCCATAACATAGACTAAACTAGTATATTCTCACACCATTTCTTTTGAAACATCTTTGTTTAATTTGGCTGAAATTAAAGTTTGCGTCTTCTCTTACCCAGCAATAACAGTAACAAATATGTGTAAACAATCATTCAGAATTTCTTGTTACGACATTATTCAATCTGTAAAAAATGGAATATTGATGTGCATATTTATCTTTTGCACTTATAAATCACAGAAATATCACAGATTTCGCATATTAGTGATATTACTATTATCAAGGAATATTATGATTTGTGATCATTATTATGAATATTAAAACCACTTTTCTGAATAACAACTATGCAACTGTAAACTATGGAGTTAAATGAAAACAGACTTCGAAGAAATAGTTATTAACTCTTTACCACTTATGCAGACTAAAATAATGAGATTTAGTTGTAATTATCCGCTCATCTTAAAATTGATAAATATAATTCATATTAAAAAATTAATATACTGAGGGTCGTCATTGTGTACCTAAATTATCGTAGCTAGGATTTATCGACAGTGTTAACAATGAAATAACTATGACTTGTTTTGCTATTTTTCTAATGCAGAACAATATCTCAAATTACAGTTGATTATTGGTGAAATTGATGATTATATATCCTTCTGCATATTTGTGGTTTAATTGCTAGTCAGTTCTGGTAAATGGATTACATTTATTGAAATTAAACTAAATGATATACTTTGCTTTGAAGCGCATAAGGATCTCAAATAGACAAATTACAATACTTTTAGGTGATTTGGACAGTCAGCAGTTAATCTTTGGTCTAGGTTTCGTGATAAATGAAACTCGTCAGCAAGGTGTAGCTGGAACCTCAAGGGAACTGATTCATTACATCAATCAGAGATGTGGTATTGATTACTTCTCTGTGATTACTTAAACTACATTAATATTTGCTAAAATGGCATGTTCTATCTAAATAACTGGGGACATTAACTTAGGTGAATTTACTACTTTAGCTTTGGATAGTGTATATATTATTTAGACAGTACGTAATTCGAACTTTAGCATCTTAAATGAGTTATATCGAAGAATAAGTTGGAGGATTAACTCATTATTGTTGAGGAGAGTAATTGGGAGAATATCAAAAGCTTTAGCTATTTAAAATCCTAAGTAATTCCGTTCTAATTTGTTCGCGAATTTAAAACAGCGATATGGAATTGTGCTTACCAGATTTATAGTGTTTTAGAGACTACTATTGAAGTGAGAATAAAATTAGTTCCAATCCTGTCATATTTACATCTTTCTATCTAATTCACTTTCTCAGGGACTAAAATCAATCTTATCAGCCGCATCAGTCTTTATCGCTTGTGAATTCCTTTATTATGCTTGCACACCAAGCAGAATTTATAACGAATTTCCGTAAATAACCCGAGGATTAGAATAATGAAATTAGTTTACCATAATTACAGGACGGAGTTGAATGGAGAATACTGGTGGGCGGCCTATGCTCCTCAATGAGGGGTAACAGGCGTAAGTAAGTACATGTACTAAGTGGAAGTCGATGTGTGAATTGAAGTAGTACCTCGATAATAACAGCCGCTCCTAATTATAAAAACGGTATTAGAAAATCGGTAAGTTATTATTAACTGCTTCTGAATAAACCTTGGTTTCGAGATTAGCGTAATACACTTCTCGTTGTTCGAAAAAAACCTTGGTTTTATATTTATGTCAATTATCCTGAATCCTTCAAAGTCACTCATTAATTGATAAAGTGTAATGCTTATTTCAAGTATTCACAAATGCTTCTTATGAGTTAAGTCACTTCAAGTAGTACAGTATTTCAGCTACATCAATTATTTCGCATTTTCATCAATAAAAAAAATTCTGGTGACAGATGATAGCATCCAGTTAATTTTTTCTATATTTAAGTCCAGGAAAAGCTTTTAAATTATTCATATTTGATATGTTCAATCAAATGGTCGAATACGAGTGTTAGTAGACACATTCAAGCATGAACCTACAAGGCGATTAGACTAATCTTTGTTACTGAACGAGACGATGCTAACTGTATTGGCTCTGAAAGAGCTAAATATATATAAATCATATCTTTTTAGAATTAAGAAACTTTCCTCAATAAAGTTAAGTACAAAGATGGAGAAACGTTTTAATCGCTGTCATTAAGCTAAATCGGCAATCAGTAATCTCTATTCTTAATCGATTAGATTCATGCTGCTGCATGGTTTGAATAACCGTATTGGAAGTCTCATTATATCTTTGAAAATAACGGTGTTAGTTGGTTAACCACTACATCCACTGATTCGAAATATGTATGAAAAACTATAATACCTAATGTGTTTGTAAAGATATATTCAAAGTCTGTTTCCATCAGTTCCTATCTTATAAAGAGTATCGATGGGAAAAGAGAATCATCGAATAATCTTTTGTCCCAGTTTACGATCAATGAAGAAACGCATCAACAATACAAATGGTATTAATCCTGTAAATCTCAGTTCTTCTGACACCATTTAGTCACTTCACGATAACGTCATCAATCTATATTATTGATTTATATCTAACTTACTAGCAGCTTGAGTAACACTACTGGTCGCAGGCTCTCACTCAAATATTGAGATATCCAAATTCAGGTACTGAGTATTGCTTCCTTCGAAAACACCGTGTCACTGATGAGTAGCGCTAACGGGCAGAATAAATAGCCTAGTGTTACTTGGTTCCTGGTGTTTATTTTGGTTGATGTTGATTCTTGATGAAATGTAACGTAGAATTGTATTTTGTTAAATGGACAATTCTTCTTCGTTCAATTATCGTCCTATGATAATTTTACTATTCGATAAGATAATAAAATACTGAAATGGGGGTAAGTGTTAAACGTCAGTTACTTTGCTCCCTGCTATTATGTCATGTTGTTGCAAACTATTTGTGTGGTATTGTCCGAGAGAGCGAAAGGTTCAATATAATGACACGGAAAGTTATTAAATCTTGAACAAATATTTCTTAATGTAATTCAATAATGTACAAGAAATGAATATTGAAAAATTTCACTTATGGTATATCTGTTAAAAATGGAATGATGCTTGGAAAATAGACAACAATAATCAAAATCAATAAATTACTGTAACAAACAAGAAGTTTCATCACAATTGGCATCAAATGCGGGTAGATTTTATTGTTCTGACATAAAAACTCGCATTTTTGCTAAACAGCTTCGTTGTTGCATTATGAATATGAATAAAAATAATGTATCGGATGACTATATACAACATACATTCATTAGGCTAACAATAATTATATGCAACTTATTGATTTGTTATGATCAAATACCATCATTAACAATGGTGTAGTGTATACGGGTGTAGATGAGCATATAGAAATGCTATTATGATAGAAAATGAGTAATTAAAACTTGAAATTAAGTTAATTTTTTCTCACTTTGTTGCTTAAATACTCACATTGTTTCAGTTTGTTCGTTTCCGATTATAAGATGTCAAAGTGCTGAACGATTAATAATAATTTCAGCAGTTTGTAAACTTGTTTTTACTTTGAAGGTAACATATAATAAACACCAAAATCAGCTGAAAATCGATTAACCGTTTCATAAGTAAATAAGATATTTCAGTTTTCTGTGCTTTCAAGTCAACTTGAGACGGAACTAAGTTCTGTGGATCTAACTACTATGTTCGTTATTTTCAGAAACATACGTATCTGAATTACTTACTTACGCCTGTTACCCCTCGTGGAGGAGCATAGGCCGCTCACCAGCATTCTCCATCCAACCATGTCCTGGGCAACCTTTCTAGCTCTTTCCAGTTGTTGTTGATCCCTTCCATGTCTGCTTCTATTTCCCGACGTAATGTGTTCTTTGGCCTTCCTCTTCTACGCTTCCCTTCAGGATTCCAAGTTAGGGCTTGCCTCGTGATGCAGTTTGACGATTTGCGTAATGCATGTCCTATCCATTTCCATCGTCTTTTCCTAATTTCTTCTTCAGCTGGAAAATGATATGTTCTCTCCCACAGAAGGCTATTGCTGATGGTATCCGGCCTATGGATGATGAGTATCTTGCGTAGACAACTATTTATAAATACTTGTACATGTTTGATGATGGTTGTAGTAGTTCTCCAAGTTTCAGCTCCGTACAGTAGAACTGCCTTGATGTTCGTATTGAAGATTCTCACTTTGATATTGGTTGAAAGTTGTTTTGAGTTCTATATGTTCTTCAATTGTGGGAATGCGACCCTTGTTTTGCCAATATTCGCCTTTACGTCTGCATCTGAACCTCCTTGTTCATCGATGATGCTTCCCAGACATGTGAAGGATTCTACATCCTCCAGGGTTTCTCCATCAAGAGTGATTGGATTGCTGTTCTTCGTTTTGAATTTGAGAACCTTGGTTTTCGCCTTGTGTATGCTGAGGTCTACTGATACACAGACTGCTGCTACACTGACTGTCTTTATCTACATTTGTTTGTGTGTATGCGATAGGAAGGCTTGATCATCTGCGAAGTTTAAATCGT